CAAAAACAAACGCTGTGAATTAGCCAAGCCGAGGCTCCCACAAATCGGTCAAAATAGACGCAATGTTTTCCTTTCTGTTTTCTTGCGCACGCATTCTGACGCATGGCTCGGCTGACTCATTGACTGACTGAGAAATTCCCGGGGACATTATCTTACTTAGACCGTCAATTTCTCCACTCGTTTTTGATAAGCCAATTCATACATAATCCGTCGGCATTCGTAGGCGATGGATTTCCAAGGAAGAAGAGTTACGTTTTTCAATACTGCAATGTCTCGTGTTGCCGTGATTGTTGTATTTGTCGTTTCCCTCAATCACCTTTCTCTTTCTCTCTCTCTCTGTATATGTTTTCTCTGTCTCTCTCTCTCTCTCTCTCACTTTCTCTCTTAAGATGGGGGCACCACGGGACTACCCCCCCACACACACGCCATATATAATATATATATATATATATATATATATATATATATATAAATAGGCATGACGAGGACGGCGATCATAACAGAAAGAACTGCGAAAACGATATGATGAACGCCCATGGTTGCTGCCATGATGCAACGTCAGCAGCGGGGCGGTACGGTCACGTTCGTGGAAAATTGTTTCTCCGTTTATTGTTTCTCATCATTTTCCTTGCTCCGTTGATGAGGGCCCGAGAGCACAAAGAGAGAGAGAGGGAGAGGGAGAGAGAATCCCAAACGAAACTCTCTGGTAAGGATCCTGAGAGGTCAACGAAACAACTCTCTGGTAAGGAAACTCCCGCCTGAGAGGTCCCAGAAATACTTTCTTGGGAGGACATTCCCGCCTGAGATGTCCCCCCCAAACCCAAAGAAACCCAAACACCATGTTTCCCATCCGTGTAACTGTCCCGCAGAAAAACGAACAACCCAAAATTACAGAGGAGACCCGACGCCGCTGCCACAGAGGGCAACCATCTCCTCTGGAACGTTTTTTTTGTTTTGTTTTTGTTGGTCTTGTGACAATTACAAGGATGAGAGGCGTGGTGTTTGGGTTTCTTTGGGTTTTTCCTTGGACCTCTCAGGCGGGAGCCTCTTCCTGTTTGGTTTTTTGGGGACCTCTCAGGCGTGGACTCCTAAGACAGGTTTTTTTTTGTTGGACTTCTCAAACGGGGACCTCCTCAACAAAGACACAATCAACATAATGAGGTAGGTCCCTAATGAGGACGGGTACCTTTCAATTGTATGGTTTTCTTATTGTTTTTCAATGTGTTGGTGTCTTTTTGTTTTTGATTTTGATGCTATCGATTGCAAGCGTTCTTGCAACAACACATGGTCAACACCTACATCAATATATGAACGAACTTCTTCGTTTCAAGCGGGCTTGCATTTGTGAAGATACCCTCTGGTCCTCGGGGGGGGGGGCTACCACACACACACTCATATATATATATATATGTATATATGTATGTATATATATACATATATATATATGTGTATGTATGTATGTATGTATGTATGTATGTATATATATATATATATATATATATATATATATATATCCGCCGGCCCCCTTGTGGGGCCACCAGGCTGCGAGGCACGGGTTCGCAGTTTCCTGTACCAGTTGTAGCTTGTAGTTTCCAATGTTGCAGGTTTGCTTCTTGCTGGTTACTGTAACTAATTGATTGACCGCGCGAGGGGGGGGAGGCCCAAACGGGATTTTTAGCACCCCCTGGGCGCGTTGTCTGAATTGCTGGGGGGGCTCGAAATCGACACCCCTCACGCAGATCCGCGGGGTCAGGGTCCAAAAACACATGGGATTTGCCACATTTCTGAAATTCGGTGCCACCCCTCACGCAGATCCGCGGGGTCAGGGTCCAAAAACACATGGGATTTGCCACATTTCTGAAATTCGGTGCCACCCCTCACGCAGATCCGCGGGGTCAGGGTCCAAAAACACATGGGATTTGCCACATTTCTGAAATTCGGTGCCACCCCTCACGCAGATCCGCGGGGTCAGGGTCCAAAAACACAGGGGATTTGCCACATTTCTGAAATTCGGTGCCACCCCTCACGCAGATCCGCGGGGTCAGGGTCCAAAAACACAGGGGATTTGCCACATTTCTGAAATTCGGTGCCACCCCTCACGCAGATCCGCGGGGTCAGGGTCCAAAAACACAGGGGATTTGCCACATTTCTGAAATTCGGTGCCACCCTTCACGCACATCCATCGCAAGGCGTGGTAACCCAAACTGCGAGAACTCCCGCGGCCCTTTAATCGCAAGGTGTGGTAACCAAGCCCGTAAACCATACACGTCTTACCAATCGCCAGGTGTGGTAACCCCTCTTGTGATCAGTTGGTTTTGCTGATTGCGAATCGGCTTCGCATGAAGTTTCGATACTGCTTCACGACAGCGCCAAGACCTCATGACTTAGCTCTTCCATGGCCCATTCTCCGAGAGAGGGGGCCGGCGGCAGGGGGCGAAGCCCTTACGGATTATTCGTATTATTAGTCTTGTTAGTCTAATTCGTATTAGCATTGTTATTCTTATCATTCGTCTTCGTATCATTCGTCTTATTATTAGCCGTCTCATTATTATTATTATTAGTATTAGTATTAGTATTAGTAATAGTATTAGAATTAGTATTAGTATTAGTATTATTACTATTATTAGTGTTGTTAGTATTATTCTTATGAGTAGTCGTATTCGCATCATGCTTTTTTCTTGTTATTAACATTCGTAATAGCATTATCATTAGTATGATTATTGGTAGTAGTCGTATTCGCATGTTTAGTCTTAGTCTTATTAGTCGTGCCATAAGTGGTATTAGTATTAGTCTTATGGGTAGTATTATACGTCGTATTATTATTCTTATTCTTAGTATTCGTATTAATCGGATTCACCTTAGTGTTCTTCGTGTTCGTGTTATTATTCTTATTCGTATTCGCCTTAGTCGTCGTAGTGTTCGTATTCGTCGTCGGGTATTCGTATGACGCGTCTTCTTATTATTACTATCAGTAGCATTCGTCTTCTTAGTATTATTACTATTCGTCGTCGTCTTCTTCTTATTATTATTGGTAGCCGCCTTATTCGTCTTATTAGTCTTCTTAGTCTTAATAATAGTATTCGTCCTCTTAGTATGCATAGTATTATAATTCTTAGTAGCCCCCTTAGTATTATACTTAGTATTCGTATTACTAGTATTAGTGTTCGTCTTGTTCGTCTTCGTCTTCTTATGCTTCTTCGCATTCGTATTATAAATATTCCTCCTCCTCCTCATCATCATCCTCCTCATCCTCCTCCTCCGCCTCCTCCTACTCCTCCTCCTCCTCCTATTCTTCCTCCTCCTATTCTTCCTCCTCCTAGTCTTCCTCCTTCTCCTCCTCCTCCTCCGCCTCCTCCTTCTCCTCCTCCGCCTCCTCCGCCTTCTCCGCCTCCTCCGCCTCCTCCGCCTCCTCCGCCTCCTCCGCCTCCTCCGACTCCTCCGCCTCCTCCGCCTCCTCCGCCTCCTCCGCCTCCTCCGCCTCCTCCGCCTCCTCCGCCTCCTCCGCCTCCTCACCGCCTCTCCTCTCCTCCTCCCTCTCTCCGCCTCCTCCGCCTCCCTCCTCCTCCTCCTCTTCCTCCTCCTCCGCCTCCTCCGCCTCCTCCGCCTCCTCCTCCTCCCTCCTCCGCTCCTCTCCCTCCTCTCCTCCTCCTCCTCCCCTCCTCCTCCTCCTCCTCCCTCCTCCTCCGTCTCCTCCCCTCCTCCTCCTCCTCGCCGCCTCGCCTCCGCCTCCGCCTCCGCCTCCGCCTCCCCGCCCTCCGCCTCCGCCTCCGCCTCCGCCTCCGCCTCCCCCTCCGACTCCGCCTCCGCCTTCCCCTCCGCCTCCGCCCATCCTCCTCCTCCTCCTCCTCCTCCTCTCCTCTCGTCTCCCTCTCCTCCTCCTCCTCATCCTCCTCATCCTCCTCCGCCTCCTCATCACATCATCATCATCATCAGCATCAGCATCAGCATCAGCATCAGCATCATCATCATCATTCATCATCAATCATAATCATCATCATCATCATCATCAGCAGCAGCAGCAGCAGCAGCAGCAGCAGCAGCAGCATCAGCATCAGCATCAGCATCAGCATCAGCATCAGCATTAGCATCATCATCCTTTTCCTCCTTCGCCTCCGCCTCCTCCGCCTCCCCCCCCTCCGAGTCTGGCTCGCCTGGAGCCGGGCCCTCGCGCCTCCTGGAGCCGCCTCCGAGGGCCTCCTCCTCCCGGGCTCGCCGCCGAGTTGGCACATCAGCGCGCTCCCGCAACTTGCCTAGGTCGGGCATGTCCCCCTACAGGCGGCTTCTTCAAGAAAATCACACACTGACAAACAGATAACCAAAAATGGTCCTACTGAAATCTAAAAAAATCGTCCCCATACGATGTCCCTTCTATTTTTGAACGTTCCCCCTGTAGAGGGACACGCCCGACTTAAAACTGCCTTCCCCAGCGCCTCTCCCGGCGCTGGAGGCGCCGGCGTGTCGAAGAGAGGGGTGAGGTCCCCTGCCGCGGGAGCGACACCGACGACATGCAGCAACAGACTCCGTACCCCCCCACCCCGCCCCCGGTTCCCGATCCCACTCCTTCTCTCAGACATGGTGGCGTCATACAAAAAATCTGGACGGCAAGTTTTCGCTATTCGGCCCCTCGGGGCCCTCGCCAGTCCCCAGGACCGTCAAAAAACGACTCGGGATGGAAAAGCGTCCCCGGGGGAAGGGTCTGGACTTCCGGGGACGCCGCATTGAAGAAATCAGGACGTCGCATGTCTGGGTTCGAGTGTTGGTGGAAGTGCCCCTGGCCCAAGGTGCCCCCAGGATTGCCGGGGAGGCCCCCACGGGGGCCCCACGGCCTCCAGAGCACCCCATCATGACGAGGCCCAGAGGGCCCCCAAAGCTCCAAAGCGGAGCGAAAAGCCGGGGGCACCTTGGGCCAGGGACACCTTCAGCAAGCACCGACCCTTGCCGCCCTGCCCGACGAGCGCACGCGCGCCCCCCCTCCGAGGCGCGCCTTCGTCACCTTGTAGCATCCCTGGGGGGAGGAGGAGGAGGAGGAGGAGGAGGAGGAGGAGGAGGAGGAGGAGAGGAGGAGGAGGAGGAGGAGGAGGAGGAGGAGGAGGAGGAGGGAGGAGGAGGAGGAGGAGGAGGAGGAGGAGGAGGAGGAGAGAGAGAGGAGGAGGAGGAGGGAGGAGGAGGAGGAGGAGGAAGGAGGGAAGAGGAGGAGGAGGAGGAGGAGGAGGAGGAGGAGGAGGAGGAGGAGGAGGAGGAGAGGAGGAGGACGGAGACGGAGGAGGAGGAGGAGGAGGAGGAGGAGGAGGAGGAGGAGGAGGAGGAGGAGGAAGGAGGAGGAGGAGGAGGAGGAGGAGGAGTAGGAGGAGGAGGAGGAGGAGGAGGAGGAGGAGGAGGAGGAGGAGGAGGAGGAGGAGGAGGAGGAGAACGATCGAGGAGGAGGATCGAGGAGGAGGGAGGAGGATCGAGGAGGAGGATCGAAGAGGCAGAGGAGGCGAAGGAGGCAGAGGAAGGGGGGGGGGCCCACCGCGGCCGGGCGCGGGGGCCGCCGCGAGAACGAGGAGAGACGCCTCGGGAGGCACGCGAGTGCGGCGCGAGGCGGAGGCCGAGAGGCTGTGGAAGCTCGGGCGGCCCGGGGGGGCCGGCGGCGAGGGCCCCTTCGAAGCCGCAAGCGGCCGACGGCCTCCCATCGTGGTTCTCTCTCGCGACGGCGAGCGCATGTCGGCGCGCAGGCCAACCGCCCCGGCAACTCCAGCCGAAACTCCTCGTGCCGTGGGTGTCCTCCCGCCTCTGCCGCCCTCCGCACGGCCGCTCCTCGCCTCATTTTCCGCTACTCCTTGCCGCCGGACAACGCGGTGCTCAGTCGGGCAAGTCCCTCTACAAAGAGGAATGCTCATGAGCAGTCCAAACATAATATGGGGACTTTTGGGGGTTTTGAATATTTGTCGAACGGTTGTGGAGTATCAGTCGTCCAAAATCCGCCTGTAGGAGGACATGCCCGACCTAACCCTGGTGCCTGCCATAAACCCAGACGTCCTCACGTTGCGCAAAATTTCGACGGGAGGTTGTTTGCTTCTGTCGGCCTCCAGGGGCCCCATTGGGCTTATGAACCGCCCCAAAAAAGACTCAGAATGAGAAACTGGTCACGGGGAAGGGGTCGGGACCTCTGGGGGTCGACGTTGTGACAAAATCACGACCTCGGGGGTCTGGATAACCTGGCTCATTGGAATGCGCGCGCGGATCGCCTCTGCCGCGCTGCGGCGACAAAAGCGTGTCATGTTTTGCTTGGTGAAGTCAACCAATCTCTGCCAGGCCCAGCTGAAGGCATGTGGAGTCTTCCAAAGGGCCTGGGGCTTTGGGCGCTTCAATTTTCTTCCTTCAGTGCGAGGAAGCGCGAGGCAGGAGGCAGAGGCCGCCCAGCCAGCGACAAGGAGCAAAAAACTGTCAGCGATTCGTTGAGAGCATGCCCAGACCCGCAGGAGAGAAGTGGCCACCAGGCCGCAAAACAGAACGAACATCGTCGACTGCAGAAATCAAAACTGACGCGAGCGAGCGGCACAAGGCAGACGGGCGCGCACAGGCCATAAGAGGTCCAGTGGCGGTGGCTGACCGGTTCCCGCCCCACAAGCCCAATGCGGGGACGGCCAATGCGTGAACGCTTACCTCGAACGGTCTGACACCTGCGAGCCACCATCTCACATTCTGCTCCTACGCGCCACAAAGCAATCCTTGTCCGCTTACGCCAGGGCATACCGCACTGGCAATAGTCTAGTAGTAACTCTTTGCAAGAATCATGCGAGATAAATGTACTAAGAGCTGGCACTTGCCACAGAACAGAAGTATGTGGGTTCTCAATGGTGACGGGACAATTGCACTGAATACGACGGCGAACGATATTCAAAGCGAAGTCGAGCAAATGGTTTCCAGTCTGCACCGCCGCCTCGTCCTTCTCTGAGAGGCCAGGCAGACCGAAGGGGAAGGTGAGAGAACGGAGAGGTGGGCGGCGGGCAGCTGAGAACGCGGCGCAGGGCGTCTCCAGCCAGACCGAGCGCACGGCCTCGGCTAGGATCCAACCCCGCACGCGGCGCACGAGCACGGAGACATATGATTCTCGGCGGCATGCTGGACAATGTCAAGGCCGAGGGCGCTGCGCCCTCGCTTCCTAAGTTGTCGAGTGAGAGCACTACTGCCACAGAAGAGCTCGAGAACACACACAACGGCGAAAGTCCTTGCCGCGCTCGACAGCGCGGTGAAAAACTCGAGTGGGATGGCGCTCAACCTCGCGAGGACTTGCCTCCAGCGGGGAGCCACGCAGGCGGGCCGCAGGAGGCGCTGCAGGTCGGTCGGGACATGGGGCCACAGCCCGCGGCTGGCCAGTCCCCCCTCGACAAGCATGGCGAAGTTGCGCTCCACCAGTTCCCCGAAGATGAGCGTGTGCTGTGGCACCTGGTTCAGATGGGTCGAGCAGCTCGGTCTCCTTGCCGCAACGCTTGCAGGACCGGGGGCACGCCCCCCCGCCCCCCCCCCCGCCTCTGAACGGCCTAGACCGACCTCCGCTTCCGAAGGAGGTCGTCGGAGGCCCCTCCGCGGCGAAGCGAGTAGAGGTGGGGGCCCGTGGGGCCCAAGCCGAGGAGGCTGCCAGCCCTCTTGAACGCCCGCCCCAGCTCCACGGCGGCAAACGGCCACGGGGGCGAGTCGGGCGGCGTCGCCAGCGTCAGCGCGGCGATGACCGGTACCAGCCAGTCGCCCAGGTCCAGCAAGACGGACACGCCCCAGTTGCCCGTCTTGCCTGGCTGTCCGGCGACGGCGTCCGCAAGCAGAAGGCCGAAATGCTGGAACTGCGGCCCCGCCGCAGGATTGCTGGCGACGAGGTGGCACCCGAGGAGACGGAAGCACTCCATCGGCCTTAGGTAGCACGCGAAGGCGAGGCACATCCAGACGCCCATGCGGACACGGCCCCCGCGCAGCAGCAGCCCGGCAACGGCCAGCGCGGCGGCGCGGGGATGCGGCAGCCGCCGGTGGCCCGGGGCTCGGCGAGCCCAAGCCTGGGCGCAGCGACTCGCCCGAGTCACCCGCTTGCCGACCGAGGGGTAGAAGTGCGAGACAGCCGCCAGCAGGCGGCTGCCGTCGGCGCCCGGGCGGCCCTCGAGGTACAGGTAGTTCTGGCACTCCGCGAGCGCCGCGCCCAAGCCCTGGAGGTCGGTCCAGGTCAATCCTTGCGACTAGCAGAACTGGGCGAAGTCCGCCAGCAGGTTGCGGAACTCCCTCTCGGCGGCAGGCTTCACGGCGCTCCTCTCCAGCACCGAAAGGGGGCTGAAGGCGGGCCGGCAGGCGGCAGTGCCGCGAGCCCTCTTCGCCCGCTCGGCTTGCGTCTGCACGGCGCCATCTCCAGGGTCGTCGAGATCTGCGCAGCAGGAAGGGATGTCACACACACACGCAAGTTGTAGAAGGGCGAACCGAGCCCGCCTGAGCCACCACAGAGCAATGCACGGAAGGCCTGGCGGGGCGCTTCGAAGGACCACTGAACCAGCCCAACTTACCGCGGGACCCCCCATCTGACGGATTGAACTCGGCGGGGCGCCATCCTGTAGCCACGCGGGCACCAGTTACCAGAGCGAGACAGCAAACTTCACGGAGGGCAAGGCGTAGATGCATTGGCTTGGCCCGACCCATACAACGCCTAAGACACAGCAGTAGGTCGTCCACAATGAGAACGATTTTAGCCCCAAGATTTGAAGACGCGCGAACTGCATGACGGACGGCTAGAACGGCAGCATCACGCTCGAGCCCCAATATATATTTCCAGGATACACCACTTGAAAAGTCACAACGGCATCCCACTTGGAGGCCTCCAGGAGCTCCTCGGGCACCCCCCCAAAGACAGCCGACTTGACCTTTATGTAAGACAACAAGTCCGCGCCCCCCAGACCAGTGCACGAGTCCCGCACGCGCGCGGGCGAGTGCTCGGGGGACTCGGCGAAGCCAGCCGACCTTGATGGCAAAGGAGGTGACCCCAAAGCGGACTGGCGAGCTTTTTTGGCGCCAGCGACACGATAGCGCCAGCGTTCGCTGCACTGGCCAACCTCCCCAGCGGACGAAGAAGATACTCGGCGCTGGCAGACGGCGAGCCCGAAAGGCGAAGCATCGCTGCAGTGCACTGTCGGCGACCACTGAGCCAGCCAGTCCACGCGGCACAAAGGCAGAAGGTCGCGTACACGCCAGAGCTCCTGCCGAACACGAGGCTAAAGAGGGCGGTGAATTGTGGATTGAATGTTCTCGTTTACGAACGCATGACGCGCGCTCTCTCGGCGCAGCAAGGCGGCCCAAACTACATGGCCCAAGGTGCGCTGCATCCTCTTGCCAGTAGCCCTTCCCCGACGAAGGAGAGCATCAATCCCCAGCCTCAGCCTCCAGATATTAATTTTCTTCAAGCTCACGAGACGCCCAGCCGACAGAGGAAGCCCCGCAAAGTCCATATCTCTTGACGCCTCCGAGACTTCATGCGCGACGAGACCCTTCCCCTGAAGATCAGCGATGACGGCGCGGTCGGCCCGGTTCGCGGCATCCCCACACGGCGAGGGGACGAAGAAATAGTCGACATAGGCGGCGGCAGCAACAGCGGTGGGCGCGCCCAGCTCTGGCGGCATCTGACCGCCCTCAATCACCTGGTTGTCTCGGCCCCGACGTCGCGAAGAGACTGCCTCGCAACTGCCTGGCGCAGATGCATCGCCCAGCTCCAGCCCATCGGCAAAACGACTAAGCACGGCGAGGCGGGGGCGCCAGCTGCGAGCACCTCGCCACCGATCGCACGGACCCCAACCAGGTCACAGGAGATTGACGGGAAACTAAAATGCTCTTCGAGGCCATCAGGGACGCCGAGGTGATAAAACGCACAACTTAAATCTCCAAGCGGCAAAGGCGCCCTCGGACCCAATCTCGAATCCCGAAAAGGCCGAAGCCGGCGGTGGACACACCTCCCTTTAGTAAACCTCCCTTTACTTAAAAAAGCCTACGACCGAAACCGACGGACCTGGACCCGCAAAAATGACGGCCGCGACGCCCTCTCGCAAACCGAGAACGGCCAATTCGCTAATCGACGTACCAGGGCGGGAGGTCGATCAACCTCCGACGAAAGCGCGGGCAGCCGAGTCGAGGCCGCTTCTGAAAAATGCCAGTTGTAAACACGGGCGTCGAAAATAATGCGAAGTTGGCCGTTGCGTTTCGCCGCAACAAAAACACTCCAAGAAACCCAGACTTGGTGGTCTCACGACGCCAAGACAACATCCCACACTGGTGGAGTTGATGCAAAAAGTCTCGATAGCGAGCAGGAGAACGCAAGGCAGGATCAACATGCGGACCACTCATGCCGAGTGAGTGGCGCTGCTTCTCTGCTACATCAGCTGGCAAAAGCAAATTATCACGCCAGGACCTCGGCCATTCACGATCGACCGACGACAGACGCGATTCTACGGGCGCGGGCTGGGACCCGACCTCCGGCCATGTCACGAAGTGGCGTGCACAAGGCTTGCGGGTGGAGCTGTCAGGATAGATGGCCGACCCAGCAAGAAGCTCGCGGAGGGCTTCGTTGCGACTCAAACCGGCCGGCTGGGCGCCCGCCTGCCTGAAACAATCGAGAACGACCTGGCGCGCGAAGCGCTGGGATGAGTTGAGAGGGGGCGAGGCGAGGCCAGGAGGACTATCGTGCCCATACAGATGGTTCAAACTGCGGATGGCCCCATCCGCCCAGTCCATCGCGCGCGCACGGCGGTGCACCCTCTGCTTCACTGCGCGACGCACATCAGGCGCGCAAGCGGCGGGCGAGCAGCGATCAAGCGGCGGCAGCGGAAACGCATCCCTCTGTCGGTCAACCCTCGGCGGCGCAACCTGAGAGGAAGAGAAATATGGAGGGGTAGGGGAGGCGCTGAGCCCCCCCCCGAGAATGCAGCCCGGGGCACCCCCTCCGATGCACCTGGCCGCGCTCAGGATCATGCGTCATATTTATGATTGCCCTTGCGGGCCGCTTCTCGTTTTTCTCTGCTTTTACGGCGCTCCTCGAGCAAGGCGCGCTCGCGGGAGACCTCTTTCGCAACCCACTCCGTGAGCTCAGGGCACGCGCGCGCCCCAGCTCGGACGAGGTCCACTCCGTAGAACAGGCGAACGTCACCGACGGAGTCCTCCTTGTGACCGCTCAACCGCTCGCGCCACCGCTCCTCCTGCACCTGCAGCGACCGAGCCAGGTGTTCAGCGGTGGCGCTGTTGGGGAGGTTGATCTGGTCGTGGCATGCCATCGTCTCGAGCTGTTGGCAGCAGCGCGCGTGCTCTGACACCCTGGCGTCCTGCGACAGGTGCTTCGTGTCGTGCTTCCAGCGCGCGCGCCGTCCTGTCGGCGAGCCTCCGTTCTGCGCGATGTACCGGCAGACCCAGAAGCACGAGCGAGGGCCCTTGATTGGCCAGTCCGCGAACAGGTCCTCGCGGAACGACTGCACCGCCCGATCGAACGGCAGCAGCCTGTCGCCCAGCAGATCGCACTGCACCAGCAGCACGCGGAGGTCGAAGTAGCCGACGACAGCAGCGCCAGCCGGGACGGCCACCCCAAGGGCACCGCCCGCTCCTGGCGAAGCCAAGGCGGCGGGCGCGGCGGCAGCAGGGGGGGCAGCAGGAACCCCTGCGGCGCCAGGTGGGGCGGCCAGCGCGCCCGCGCCCACTCCACCGCCGTCCGCGGCGGCAGGCGCGGGGGCGGCGCAGCCACCAGCCGGAGGGGCAGGACCGCCATCTCCGAGAGCTGCCACCAACCCGCCCGCCAAGCCCAGCCGCTGGCAAGAGCGCACCAGCTCCGCCTACGGCTCCGCCAGATGCTCCAGGACCAGCAGCAGCAGCAGCAGCAGCAGCAGCAGCAGCGCCCAGCGCTCTGGCGGCGCCTCCTGCAGCGGGAGCCGCGACCACTGCAGGGACTCCGGCAAGCCCAGCGCGCCCGCCGACGTTGGGCGCGAGCTGCCCATGCGGCGGCGCTGCCCCGTCGCGCCCACACGCCGCGGCGCGGGCCGCCGTCGCGGTCGCCGGCGTAGGGACCGCTCGGAACTTGTAGAGCGGGTCGGCCCCCACTCCAGGAAGCGCAGCCCCAGCTCCGCCGCCTGCTCCCACTCGAACTTCCTGTGTCTGGACCTGAGAAGTCCTCGTCGTACTCGTCGCCGTCACGCGTAACGATCCCCACCAGATGTCCAGCGTTCGGGACTAGGTGCGCGATGAAGCGCTCGTGCCACAGCCGCTGGGCGCAGTTGTACCGCACGTACACAAAATCGCCAGCAACGACCCCGAAGGCAACCGACGCGGGGTGAGCCATCAGGCTCAGCGGCGGGCCTGAGCTGCCGCGGCGGCAACCCTAGCCTGGCGCCGCGCCTCCTCCTGCACGTCCTCCAGCGCTGCAGCCGCGGCGGGCAGCTTAGCGGGCGGTGGGCCGCTGGGGCCTGGCGTCGCCTTCAGCAGGGAGTCGCCGCCTGCGGCTGGCGGAGGGAAGCCGAGGGGCATCCCGCACCGCCACGCGAGGTACCCGCCGCACATGGCCACCAGCAGGCAGCCCAGCAACACGATCAGCGAGATGCCCTCCTGGTGGAAGGCGCTTATTCGGCGAGAACTCCAGGCTCGGGCACTGGAGGTGGGGCGAGCAGTCGGGACAAGCTGGACACTCGCACGCGGGGCAAACGCCACGCGCCAGATGAGGCTCGAACGCAGGGCACTGCTGGGATCCGCCGCGGACGATGCGTGCGGTGGAGATGCCTCGCACGAGCTCGGTGCCAGCTCGCGCAACAAAATGGTGCATCGATCACGTGTGGCCCAAGAACTTGAGCCGTAAAAATACGGCAGATAACATACAATGCAAGCATCACATCCTGAAGACTCAAATTTTTCTGCATGGGGGCATCGATGCCATCTCCATCCCAACCCAAAGCCTCGCCAACTGTTTTTCACGAATGCTGAGAGTTTTACCGATAACTCTCAGAAGGTCTCGCATGCTTCCCCGATTGCGGAAAAACGCCTGGCGGGGAGCTGACCAGGTCTTCAAAAGTGGTGAGAGTTTAACCGATAACTCTCAGAAGGTCTCGCATGCTTCCCTGATTGCGGAAAAACGCCTGGCGGGGAGCTGACCAGGTCTTCATGCGGAAGGAGGCGGAGGAGGAGGAACTTGCCCGGCCCTCAGTGCGCTCGTTCCAAGGTCGCAACAATCGCGGCAAGAGGTCAAGACGAGCAGACCACTACAGCAAGCTAAACTGGGCACAGCTCAAATCCGACCTAGGCAGAGAAAGCGAAACAAGGGGCACGCGCGCCAAGGATCATACAATGACGATGTGGGTCCATGGGGGATGGAGAAAACCAGGGATCGCGAGGGAGGCAGTCCTTGGCAGGCGCCGGGAAGCGTGCCGCTATTGCTGCGACACGTTGGCAAGGAACAGATTCGAAGACGGGAAGGGGCGGCTAGAAGCATGTCAGTTTGGGTATGGAGGAAGGTCGCTTGTCCTCTGTCTCGTCCTCCTTCTCCCCCTCCTCACCTCCGCTTTCTCCTGTCCCGCCTCTCTTCCTCCTCCCGGGGGCGGGGGCGCAGGGGGGGCGGCGGGGGGGGGGCGCCCGCATTTACAGTCGGTTCGGAATAAATTAAGTGAGAGGAGTGCAGCAGGGGGGAAACGGGGGGGGAGCGCACGGTCGGTCGGAAATAAAGGGATAGGGGGGCGCAAGGGGTGGTGAGACGGTTGGGGGGGGCCACGGTCGGTCGGGAAACAGGGGAAGGGGCGCAGGGACGGGGGCGGGGGGGGGTGCCACCGGTTCGGTCCGGATAAAGAAAGGCGGGCGCTAGGGGTTGGGGAGGGGGGGGGGGCACGAGTCGGTCGGAATTAGGGAAGGGGGCGCGCGAGGGCGCAGGGGCCGGGAGCGGAGGCAGAGGGATGGGCCCGCGGTTCGGTCGATCGATATAAAGGGAGGGTGTGCGCAGGGGGGGGGGGGGGGGGGGGGGGGGCCACGGTTGGTCGGAATTAAAGGAGGGGGGCGCAAAGGGGGGGAGCGGAGGGGGGGCACGGTCGGTCGGGAATTTAATTAAGGGGAAGGGGGCGCAGGGGGGGAGCGGGGGGTGGGCCCATGGTCGGTCGGAGGGGGGCGCAGGGGAGGAGCGGGGGGGGAGGGCCCACGGTCGGTCGGAATAAGGGGAGGGGGGCGCAAAGGGGGAACGGAGGGGGCTGGTGGCCACGGTCGGTCGGAATTGAGGACGGGGTTCCTTTGCGCAGGGAGGAGCGGGGGGGGGGGGTCCACGGTCGGTCGGAATTAAAGGGACGGGGCGAAGGGAGGAGCGGGGGGGAGGGCCCACGGTCCGGTCGGAATATATGGGAAGGGGCGCAGGGAGGAGCGGGGGGGGGCCCACGATCGTTCGGAAATAGGGGTGGAGGGGGGCGCAGGGGAGGGGCTGTGGGGGGAGTGGCCCCACGGTCGGTCGGAATAAAGGGACGGGGCGCATGGGGGGAGAGCGGTGGGTGGGGCCACGCGTCACGGTTTCAGAATAAGGGGAGAGGGGCGCAGACAGAAGAGGAGCGGGGGGTAGTGGCTCCACGGTGTCGGGCGGTATATGGGGACGGGGGCGCAAGGGGGGGCGGCGGGTGGGGGGGGGGCGGGGCGCGGTTTAGGTTGGAATAAGCGGAGGGGGGCGCAAGGGGGGAGCGGAGGGTGTGGCCCACGGTCGGTCGGAATAAGGGGAGGGGGGCGCAGGGAGGGAGCGGGGGGGGTGGCCCACGGTCGGTCGGAATAATGGGAAGGGGGCGCAGGGGAGAAGCGGGGGGGGTGGCCCACGGTCGGTCGGAATAAGGGGAGGGGGGCGCAGGGGGGGAGGGGGAGGGGCCAGCACGACCACCAGCTCGACCACCAGCACCTCCACCAGAACGGCCAGCAACACGACCGCGAGCACGACCACCAGCACGACCACCAACACGACCACCAGCACCTCCAGCACGGCCGCCACCAGCACGACCACCAGCAGAACCACCAGCACGACCACCAGCACGACCACCAGCACCTCCACCAGAACGGCCACCAACACGACCGCCAGCACGACCACCAGCACAAGCACCGGCACGCCCAGCCACAGCACGACCACCAGCACAACCACCAGCACGACCACCAGCACGACCACCAGCACGACCACCAGCACCTCCACCAGAACGGCCACCAACACGACCGCCAGCACGACCACCAGCACAAGCACCAGCACGACCACCAGCACGACCCCAGCACGACCACCAGCACGACCAGCCACCAGCACCTCCAGCACGGCCAGCCACCAGCACGACCAAGCACGACCACCAACACGACCACCAGCACCTCCAGCACGGCCAGCCACCAGCACGACCACCAGCACAACCACCAGCACGACCACCAGCACGACCACCAGCACGATCACCAGCACCTCCACCAGAACGGCCACCAACACGACCGCCAGCACGATCACCAGCACAACCACCAACGCGACCAGCCACCAGCACGACCACCAGCACAACCGCCAGCACGACCACCAGCACGACCACCAGCCCAGCACGACCACCAGCACGACCACCAGCACGACCAGCCAGCAGCACGACCACCAGCTCGACCACCAGCACTTCCCAGCACGACCACCAGCACAAGTACCAGCACGACCACCAGCACGACTGCCAGCACCTCCACCAGAACGGCCAGCAGCACGACCACCAGCACGACCACCAGCACGTCCACCAACCACGACCACCAGCACGGCCGCCAGCACGACCGCATTATGGGCACACGGTCGGTCGAAAGAAAGCAGTGCGAGATCACACCAATAGGTATGATGATAAAGAACGAACTAGAGAGAGAGAGAGAGAGAGAGAGAGAGAGAGAGAGAGAGAGAGAGAGAGAGAGAGAGAGAGAGAGAGAGAGAGAGAGAGAGAGGAGACGAGGGAGAGGGAGAGAGAGGGATATGTGAGAGAGGCATGATGTACCGCTCACTCGCCTGACCAAGAGTGCAGTCGGCGGCCTCTTGCCATGCAAAGCGTGTGGAGTGCGGTCGGCGTGCCTCTTTTCGTGCGAAGAGGACCGGCCCGAAAACCGAAGCCCCTCCGTGGCTGTAATGAACAAATCGAGATCGCACTCGACACGGAGCAACTCGCCACGCCCGTCGTGCGGAGAAACTCGCAGCTACTACGAAGGTGCACTGGAACAGGCGATCCGAGCCTCACGACGCTGCCGCATGCCACGAGCAACGCCCAGTAGACCGACGTGGCTCAGCTCGATGATCGGGCAACATGCACGCATCAGGTAAGCTACGCGCGTGCCTTCCAGACGGTCAGTGCCGTCGGCGCTGGACGTGGACAAAGATCACCGTACGGCCTGGCTGCAGTCGTCGAGGCGCCAAGCCCCGAAGCAACGTGATGGCGCGCAGGCGCGTCCTGGACGGTGCGAATTACATGCGTCGCCGACCAGGCCACGGCGTAAAGCCGCACAGGGGAAAATTGTCATCGAGACAGCAGCCGCGCCTGATCCCCCGCAACCCCGCCCTTCTCCCCATCCCTTGGCTCGTTGGTGATCCCACCTGCCTTTGTGGCCCTTGGCGTTCTCTTACATTCCTGCCGACTAAAAAAAAACGTGAGACGGCCCCACTGGTTCGCACACGGGTCGCTTCCCCGCGGATGCCACAAGCGACCCCCCCCCCGCCCTCCGCCCGGACGCTCTCGCGCGGAGCCTCGCCACTCCCTCTCGGCGTGCCACGCCATGTTCCCTCCTTCCCCCTCCCGCGGCACCCTGGGGAGCTAGACCAGCCAACCAGTGAGGCGCTCAAAACCGAAAGCAGCAACCTTGCTGCGAAGAGAGACTGCGACAGAAGAATTACCTACCCCAGCCGTTGTGGACCAACCAGTGACGCTCTCAAAACCAGAAGCAGCGATATATTTCGCTGTGGTACAAACGCGCGATAGACTGCGACATAAGAATTACTCACTCCCTGCCGCACGAGCGTGCGGCTGCACAGCTGAGCGCTGGCAGCCTTTCCACTGCGTGAGGGGCGGCTTCCAGACGCGCACTTCGCGTCGGAAAAATCTTGGAGCGCGCAGAGGCCGAAGAGAGACGGAGTGCCCCGTCCACGTGCCAGGGCGTCGGCTCCACAAATGACGGGACGGGGGGGACCGCGATGCAACGGCTCACCAGGGCGGAGGAGGAGGGGCGAACGGGGCTCCACCGGGGCCAGCCCCTCTCCCCTGGTCACCGCAGAGGAGGGAAGGAGCGAGATCGCGATGCGCCGCCAGGGAAAGCCCACGGCACAACTTCGGCCAAAAGATATAACGGCCAGAGGCTCACAGCTGGTCCGCTGGATGAGCCTGGACAAGCGGCGGAGAGATCCTACAGCGCGCTCAATGCGCCCCTGCCTCGACGCAGCCGTTGAAGCAGGAACCTACAATGATCCCCTCCATCCCGATCTTTGCTACTACGTCCAGGATGCACAGGCAGATGTCCTCGGTGGGCTTCGTGATGAGGCCCAGGTGCGCACGCCCAATGCCCACAATGATCGGATAGAACGACCAAACCACGATAGTGAGCATCTCGAGCTGCTTGAAGAGGTTGGCGGCCACCTCGATCTGCTTGCTTGCTTTGTACCCCACGTCAACTTGAAGCGACACCAACAGCATGATATAGAAAAAACATGAAAACCCAAACCAAACATGTTTGAGGTGCTTGTACGGCTTCCACGGCATCAACGCCGCGATGATGCCCGTGGCGAGCATCAGTAAGTCGCTCATGATGACCATGATTATCATGGGTGTGGTAGCGTGCGCTATGTGGCAGAGCTCATACAACATCAGAGGAGTTGTGGTGATCCAGTCAACGTAGCGAGCGATGGGCACCAAATCTCCCTTTATGACCATGTCCCCCATGTGGCACGACTTCGCGAAGTATGTCATTGCCGCTATCGCGGTCACAAAGAAGGTGTTCACAAACGATTCCTCGTTCACGTGACGTGCCCACAGGCAGAGCATAACAAGACATGCGACGGAGAACAAACCGCAAGTGATGCACTCAGCATACCAGGCAGCCTTGTGCAGCGACGTCTTCCCGTGGTGCCACTTTTTCGTTGTCCTGCGTCGGTTTGAGATCAAGCGCCACGGCTTGCGGCTTATACGATACTCTTTCGAGCTGGCCTTGCTGGCATCACCCGCATGATCGCTCTGCTTGCTGGCGTCGCGCAGTGCAACTTCCTCCTGCTCCCTGGCCGCATGCGGATTCTCGACGTCATATGTTGAACTCGTATATTCTGGCGTCGAGCCAGCCTTGCTCACGTCACAATTCGCCTCGTCCTGCGCTGTGCTGGCGTCGCCCAGTGCCCACTCCTTCTTCGTGTCGGACAGGCACTCCTCCTTCACCTCAGCGTCGTTGACCGCGTGCTTCTCCTTCCCCGCCCAGGCCGCACAAACGTCGACCGCAGGCACCTTGGAAGCGGTCCCCTCCGATGGGATCTCGAAATCGGTCATGATGGATGGGCCGTCGGGCATCGGCGGTGGCAACGACCCCTGGATCTTCGGGATGTTGACAAACGGGAGGTTCAGCTCCGACGGCGACGTCGGCGCGTCCTCCATCGGCGCTTTGGGCAATGGCATGTCCTCCATCGTGAATCGAAGCGCGTGTATGTGGGTATCCCACGCGAGCAGTTAGGGGACGCGCGTGCGCGGGCTCTTGAAGAAGGATGGCCTGAGGGAGCTTGAGCCAAAGTTCCTTGAACCAAAATGGCTACGGAAGGAAGCGGAGGAGGAGGAGGAGGAAAAAGAGGTGGGCGCCAGCAAGCGTGGCAGAACGGCGACTTGCTGCGCGGGTCACGATACTGCCGGCCCGTATCATATGGATGCGCGGTAAGGATGCAAAAGGGCCTTGGAGGGCCATGGTAACGTCTTTCAAACGACGTTGGCCAGCGAAAGTCGCTAAGGATGGGCCGAAGGGGAAAGGATGCAAGGGTACCCTTGGGAAGGTTGCCCATCCTTACCATGCGAGTTGACTGTAAGCGACAGCAGCCGTGGTTCCCGAAGTGGCGGTGTGGCGTCAAAATGGTTTCCAGGCTGGCATTACGAAGGCCCCGCAGGAGCCACCGCCCCTCCAGGGGGCTCTGAAACCAGAAGGGCGCCGCGGGAACCACGCCTTGGGCAGGCTCAGGCGCTGCGTCGCTGTCTTCCCAAGCGCACGAGGTCAAAAGCCGATCCCAAGATCCATGCCATAGGGCGCCTTCTAGCCAGGACTTCGAAGCAAGCATGGCGTGTTGCGACGAGGAGCCCCCTGGAAAGAGACCAAAAGGTACCAATACGGCTACTCCCCAGATCTCTCCCGGGGTTCGTTCTGATCAGAATTTCGAGGCGACTCCGGCGGTGGCGACAAGGGTCTCCGAAAGGCCCAAGACGGCGGAAATGACGGAAAGGCACCAGTATGGTACCTTTTCCGCCTCCGAGAGAGAAACGAAACATCTCCCAAACTCGATCCTCGAATCTCGAGGAGCGGTCGCTGCCGGAAAACTTGCCCGTGTCCGAAACCGTGTCCACGGCCTCGCCGGATAGGGCCCGTAGTTTGCGCCGCGCACAAGGGAAGTGGGGGGAGAACGGAAGGCTTCTTAGGAAAGAAGGAGGCTGCGTCGCAGGAGGCGCCGGCCTGGCATCTCCAGATAAGGCCCGCGCCCTCTAAGAAGCAGAGGTGTTTCTGAGAAGCCTTCCCCCCTCCCCCCTACCCTTGAGTCGGACATGGCCTCCTACAGGCGGATTTCTGGAGACTAATGAAGAATAGTCAGAATATACTTCAACCAGCATCAAAAAAACATATTCGACAAATAGTTCCCTGTGGAGGAACATGCCCGACTTAACCCTACCTCCCTATCAGAAGAGGAAGAAGAAACAGAAACGCCATGAACGGAAATGTTTGGCGCTCCGCGTGGATTTCTTGGATCCGCGCTGGACCCCCCCTCCCTGGAGCGCTTTGCGCGCCAGGGGCGGCGCCAGGGACGCCACCAGAGGGCCTTGCGTCTGACTCGAGCTTCGAGCTCCGAGATCCCAGCCACAATGATAGACAGCGCACTAAAAGCTTCTCATCTTCGGTTACGTGGAGAAACGTGCATGAGATTGGGGGCTTCGAGGCGAGCTCAGAAGCAAAGTGATCCGCTAAAATCAGCAGTGCCCGCAAAAGCGGGGCACAGAACATTGGAACCCTCTCGGCTTGTATCAGGTGCCTTCGGCGAGCTGACCACATCGCCCTAGCATTTGCTTCACGAATGCTGGCCAGCAGCCCTACACAGCTCAACTGTTGATGCATCAAGTGCTGCTATGTGGCAAATGTTAGCCAGCGTGGACCCCGAACCGAGTGTCTCTAGCAATGCACGGCGTGCAAGCAATGTGAAGCAGCGTCAAATGCTGTGCAATGTCGATGAATAACTGTACATAAATACGTATATACACATACATACTTGCATACATATATATATATATATATATATATATATATATATATATATATATATCGACCGACCTTCCTATCTACCTACCTATCTACCTACACACATACATACATATATACCTATAAACAGACAGACGGACATGCAGAACACACTGCATGCTGATTCCGAAACTGGTGGTACTGATTCTGAGACTGGGGGTACAGATTCCGAGACTGGGGGTACTGATTCCGAGACTGGGGGTACTGATTCTGAGACTGGGGGTACTGATTCCGAGACTGGGGGTACTGATTCCGAGACTGGGGGCGCTGATTCTGGGACTGGGGGTAGTGATTCTGAGACTGGAGGGCAGCCAGGGGTACTGAATCTGGGACTGGGGTACTGAATCTGGGACTGGGAGTACTGATTCTGGGACTGGAGAGCTCCTCCCTTAAGGCCTAAACCCTAAACCCTAAATCTCTAATCCCTATGATTATTAAACCCTAAATCCTTCTACCCCACGCTGCCAGACCGTAATCCAACTTCTGGGTCGAGCCTGCTATGGGGATCTTTACGACCCGCTATGCAAACCACCCACGATCCTATGCAAAACATATTATAAACTTATCATGCGTGCTCCCAGGTGCACCCCTGGATCGAGCCCCTGCTATGGGGATCTTTATGACCCGCTATGCAAACCACCCACAATCCTATGCAAAACATATTATAAACTGATCATGCGTGCTCCCAGGCGCACCCCTGGATCGAGCCTGCTATGGGGATCTTTATGACCCGCTATGCAAACCACCCACAACCCTATGCAAAACATACTATAAACTGATCATGCGTGCTCCCAGGCGCGCCCCTTGATCGAGCCTGCTATGGGGATCTTTACGTCCCGCTATGTACACCACCACAATCCTGATCATGCGTCCTCCCAGGCGCACCCCTGGATCGAGCCTGCTATGGGGATCTTTACGTCCCGCTATGTAAACCACCACAATCCTATGCAAAGCACGTTGAGGTCGGGCGAACCCTCGAGTGCGCCCGACCCGACCCGACCCGCTTGTTACGGTTCACGCGTGTCAAATGTACACGCACCATACTTTCATGTCCCGCCCGCCCGACCCGACCCGCCCGTTAGGGTCCGCCCGACCCGACCCGACTCGCTCGTTCGGGTCCGCCCGCCCGACCCGACCCGACCCGCCCGACAGGGTTCACGCGTGTCAAGTGCACACGCACCATACTTTAATGTCCCGCCCGCCCGACCCGACCCGCCCGTTAGGGTCCGCCCGACCCGACCCGACCCGCCCGTTAGGGTCCGCCCGCCCGACTGTTTCGCTTTGCTATGCTCTGCTATGCTACACTATAGGTTTCCCACTTTGTGGGAAACCTATGCTTTGCCATGCTCTGCTACGTTGTGCTATGCTATGCAATGCCATGCTACACTATATGTGCTTTGGGGGAACCTATGCTTTGCCATGCTTTGCTAAGCAATGCTATACCATGCTATGCTATGCTACAGCCACGCTATGACATGCTAGAAGATATGATCTTTATGGGGGGGTGGAGATGCGGGTGGGAATGATGGCGACCGCAGGTGGGTTCCGTTGAAGGTTGTAATCGTGGCCTTGCCCTGTTAGACCCTAAACCCTAAACTGCAGGCGCGGACCTGGGGGCGCGCACCGCCACGCCTGTAAGGATCTGCTAATGAGAGCGAGCTGCAAGTCGAGCTCACCGCGACCATAGGCCTGCCGGCCCGAGGCGGTGCTTCGCTTGCAAAATGATAACCCCTAACCCTCGGCCGGATGCTCGCGGATACCGCTCGGCTTCTCCCCCAGAGCTCTCCCAGAGCTCCCCCAGAGCTCCCCCCCAGAGCTCCTCCCCCAGAGCTCTCCCCAGAGCTCCCCCCCAGAGCTCTCCCCCAGAGCTCCCCCCAGGGCTCCCCCCAGAGCTCTCCCCCAGAGCTCTCCCCCAGAGCTCTCCCCCAGAGCTCTCCCCCAGAGCTCCCCCCATCTTCCCACCCCAGAGCTCTCCCCCACGCTCTCTCCCGAGCTCTTCTCCCCCCCAGAAGCTCGGGGGCAGTCTCCTCCCCAGAGCTCTCCCCCCGATCTCCCCCCCCAGACTCTCCTCCAGGCTTCTCGCCCCAGAGCTCTCCCCCGAGCCTCTCCCCCAAGCTCTCCCCCAGAAGCTCCCCCCAGTATCGCTCACCAGAGCGCCCCCCCAGCGCTCTCCCCATAGCCCCCCCCCAGAGCTCTCCCCCAGAGCCCCCCCCCAGAGCTCTCCCCAGAGCATCCTCGGGAGCCTCGTGCGCGGCCCGAAGCACTCCCCGGAGAAGTCTCTGGCGCCTCGTGCGCGGCCCGAAGCACTAGCCAGAGGGTACTCGGAGCTGTTCCCACGTGGGCATTGTGCGTGGCCAGGGAATCGCGTGGCTGCTCGAATTCTGACGGATCCACATTCCCCGTCCACGGACACCCCGCGGGACACCGTTGCCTGGCTCTGTGACCGCCGCAGCTGTGGCGGGATGGTCCAGATTAGCAACCCGGAGTCCAATATCTTGCTCCAGTTCGGCATCTGGTAGACACGCTGACGAGAAGCATTTCGTGCCGGCTGGCTAGCATGCGGCCGCGGCACGCGTGGCGCGCGCCAGCCGCGCCCGCATGAGCGAAGTCTCGTCCGGGCGTCTTTATAATGCTATCTTTGACCCGCTGCGGCGCCGCCGCGGCCTGCTGCCAGCCGCTGTTGCGTTAAAATTCCAACCTGCAATACGTCCCCGCAGATTCTCTCTGTGCGTGCACATACCGCAGCGCTCCCGCGCGTCGCCATGCCGACGTCCGCCGTGCCCCCGCGAACAACGGCGCCCCCGCGACATCTCGGCGAGACGCAGCTGCTCTTCTCTCTGCCTCGGTCGCGATGCAAAGGTCCAACATGCCGATGCTCCCTGTCATTCCTGGCATACACATCCCGCAGCGCTCACGCGCGTCGCAGAGCCGACGTCCGCCGACCCCACGAACAACGGCGCCCCCGCGAACTCTCGGCAAGGCGCAGTTGTGCCCTCTTCCGCGGACTTGCACCAGGAACGCGGAAGCTCGCAGTCGAGGGGGCTTCCGCGCGGGAGTAGCCGCCGCGCCGCGCCGAGTCCGCGAGCGAGAAAGCCCGTCGGACCCCGCGCGCGGCGCGGCGCCCACTGCCGCGCGGAAACCCAGGGGGCCACGTCAGCCTCCACGCGGCGGCCCCTGGGGAAGGCTACGCGGGCGACTCTGCACCCGCAAGGGTCGCGGTCGCGCGCGTAACTTTCGCGAAGGACGACTCTCGAATCGCGCTAATGCTGACATATCTGTATCTGGGACGCACATCACTCACTCAGGCTGACGCCAGCACTCCTTCCCCCCTTGATAG